CTAGAATGAAGAAAGTCGCCTGAGATAGTGCCCGAAAAAGTCCTTTTTGGAGCCAGGGTCCCACGATGACTCAAAATGTGTGGCTCCACACCTGGGTATTCACAGGTAGAGTTTCTCTGTGGTGTGTGTGAATTCAGTGTATGGCACATTCATGTGTAAGAAAGGCCAAGTGTGTAAGCGTGCATATGTGTCAGTCACAGTGACAAGACTTGTGGATTTGTGAGTAAGTGGATGTGACTTCCCAGACCAAACTGCTGGCAGAGCGTGTGGCCAGACTGTCCTCAGTGTCCCTGCAGACATACAGCACCAGACTGAGGCTTAAAGTAGGAGTGTATTCTTGGGCATAGGAGTGGGGGACATTGTAACCAAGACAGCTGTGGCTCTGTCCAGGCCGGGGCTCAGGAGTGGATCTCCAACCTCCGTGTGTCCTGGCCCGTATTAGGAGAATAGCGTCAGTGATACACGGGGAAGTACTTCTGCTCCTCCCTCCCAGCAAGAACCTGTGACTCTGCAGGACACCACCACTCACTATTAGAGACAGGCAGGAACCGTGACAGGCAGGGGAAGGGGGTAAGGAGGCTGGGAGGACTGGGAACTTGTCAGGGAAGCTGGGATCAAGGGGAAGGTCTAAGAGCTGCCTGCTGTAGGCAGAGCTTCTTCAGGTCCTGAGGTAGGAGCAAGGAGTTAACTTAGGAGGAGGCTGGGCTGCTTTCACAGATGAGGTCACTTGCCTCTCACTCTCCATCCCCTTTGGACGGTGGAGGTGAGCAGGGGACCATCTGGAAAAACCAGCGTTACAGAAGATGGCAGCAGCCTCTCTTCTGCCTTGGTCCATGCAGGCAGGAGAGCAGGAAGGTGGGAGGGACAGAAAAGCCACCCACTGCCTGGGTGACTGACAGCACTCAGAGGTCCTGGGTGTGATCCGGCTTCGGGAAACCAGAGTCCAGGCTAATGGAGGCCTGGGCCAGGGGCCAGGCCACCATCGATCCCTGACTGACCTTTCAGTAGCTCTGGGTGGGGGGGGAGGGGGAGATGGGATGGGTTGGAGGGGAGATGGCTGTAACCTTACACAGTCACCCCTGGGGGGGGCAGAATGGCCCTGTGGGTGGAGCCTGGCTTGGGAGGATTAAGATAGAGTAACACAAGAGAAGGAAGCTGGACCCCACTAGGAATGAAGTCTTCCCTAATCCGTGTACCAGATCCAGGGGTCTAGCCCCGTCATCTGTAGGTGGATGTCGCTGAGAGACAAGGGTAATAGTGCCGAGTGTCCCCTGGAGTTCGGTTGCATAAGGACCTAAGTAGAAATGAGGGAGCACAATCAAAGCCTCGGGCCCCCAATCTTCCCTCGTCCACTTCCCAAACCTTAGAATTATAGGCATGAACCATCACACCGTTTTCTGTGATGTTACTGCATCAGCCTGCTGGCCTTCACCTTCAGAGAGCTGCTCATGCAGCAAAGGGCTCCAAAGAGCCAGCTTCCAGCATAGGTGAGCTAGCTGATGGGAACAAGGAACCGTGTTCTGCTAAAGGAAGATTGAGGGCGCTGTGGAGTGAGGGACTTCAAGAGAGAAAAGTGGGTACCTTCTCATTCCTGTGACAAACCCAGGAACCTGAGATTAAAGTCTCATGCTCTACTGACTTTGCTAGCTGGGTGCAGTGGCGCACGCCTGTAGTCCCAGCTACTTGAGAGGCTGAGACAGGAGTTCTGGGCTGTAGTGCAGAATGCCAATCGGATGTCTGCACTAAGTTCAGCATCTGCTGGTCACATTGTGTCCACAGTCAGAAAACAGAAATAAGCCAGTGGTGGTGCACGCCTTTAGGCAGAGGCTGGAGGATCTCTTTGAGTTCAAGGCCAGCCTAGTCTATCTACAAAGTGAGTTCCAGGACAGGCAAGAACACTACACAGAGAAACCTGTCTCAATAAACAAAACATAAAGGAAGAAAGGAGGAGAAAGAGAGAGAGATTGATGCTCAACTCAATTTCTCCTTTTTTCCCTTCTATTCAGTATATACTCCTAACCCATCTGATGTTACTGCCCACGTTCATTGTGGGAATTCCCTCCTGAGTTAAACAAATCTAGAAACATCCTCAGAGACAGTTACTGTTCTTTTGCTGTGAAGAGACACCATGCAATACAAGACAGCATTTAATTGGGGGCTTGCTTACAGTTTTAGAGGGTTAGTCCATGATCTTCATGACAGGAAGCAGACAGGCACTGCCCTGGAGCAGTAGCTGAGAGCTTTACATCCTGACCCACAGGTGCAGATGGGGGGGGGCTTTACATCCTGACCCACAGGTGCAGATGGGGGGGGCTTTACATCCTGACCCACAGGTGCAGATGGGGGGGCTTTACATCCTGACCCACAGGTGCAGATGGGGGGGCTTTACATCCTGACCCACAGGTGCAGATGGGGGGGCTTTACATCCTGACCCACAGGTGCAGATGGGGGGGCTTTACATCCTGACCCACAGGTGCAGATGGGGGGGCTTTACATCCTGACCCACAGGTGCAGATGGGGGGGAACAAAAGACCTACTGTGGGCTCTTGAAACCTCCAAGCCCACACCCAGTGACACATCTCCAACAAAAACCACACACACCTCCTAATCCTTTCCAAACAATTCTACTAACTGACATCCAGGTATGCAAACATAGGTCCCTCTGGAGGCCATCCTCATTCAAACCATCACAGAGAGACACAGAGGTATGTCTCCTGGGTGATTCTAAACCCAGGCATCACAAGTCTACACTTTGTCAACGGAACACTCAGATATATCACATTGAACCATGACATTCCATCTCTGCTTTTCAAAGGCTCATGGTTACTTCATAACAAGTATGTTTACTTTATCTGTACGATCCCCCCCCAATTGTTTTGTGTGTGTGTGTACACGCGTGCGCTTGCCTTGATGTGGAGGTCAGAGGTCACGCTTCAGGAGTCCATTCTCACTTTCCGCTGAGTGAGGGTTTCTCTGGTTGCTATTGCTGCTGCTAGTCTGTGTTCCAGACTATGAGGCCCGTCAGCCTCTGGGTAATTATCCTGTCTCTGCCTCCCATCTCACCATAGGAGCACTGGGCTTACAAATGTATGTCACTTTCTACCTGGGTCCCAGAGATTGGACTCAGGTCATCAGGCCTGAATGGCTAGTGCCTTTACCCATGACTTCCCAGAATATTAATAGTTCTAAAGTTGTTCAGAATCCCTAAGTCTGAGACTCAGGGCCCCAGTAAAGTAAAAGAAGTTAGGTGATTCCAACATACAATGGTACAGGCAATTATTCTCATTTTAAATGAAGAATGAGGGAGGGCAAGCAAAGCTTGGACCCAAACCCAACAAAATGAACTCTAAGTTCTGCAGTGCCGAGCTTGGATTGGTGGTCTTGGTGGCATCATCAAGACAAGTAAGCCTTTTGTAGTCCTTTCTCATTGTTACTTGTAGCAGACATAGCATCCCTCATGAACCTACTCTACTTAATGCCTGCCACTTCCCTTGATAGCTTTCCCATAGGCCTGGCATCTTCAGCATCCAGGGGTCCAAATACAACTGAGGCTTCACTTTTACAGGTGTGTAACATCCTCTCAAGGGCAGGTGCTCTTGCACTGACCTATATCTTGAGTCCTACTGCCTGCATTTCTATTCTCATCAAAATGGCCCACTAAGTTCTCCTTATAGTGTCTTAGGCCTTCTCTATCGCATGGCTTCAAACTTCTGCTCCTCTTGTAAACCAGTTCTAACGTCCTACGCGCTACCCAGTCAGATTGATGACAGTAACAACCCCACTCCTGATACTAATTTTGCGATGTTACTTACTTCTTGCTATGATGAAATAACTGGCAAAAGCAATTTAAGGGTTTAATTTGGCAGAGAGTTTGTAGCAATTGTCCACCATGTCAGTGAGAGTGATAATAAGGCCTCATAGTCAGGAAGCCTAGAGAAAGTATTACTGGCACTCAGGCCACCCCCCCCTTTTTATTCAGTCTAGAACCCCAGCCCACGGGGTAGTAGAACCCACCACATTCAAGGTGGGTCTTCCTTCTTCAATTAAATGTCCAGAGGTATGTCTCCTAGGTGATTCTTCTGGGTTTTGTTGTTGTTGTTTTGGTTTTGGTTTTTTGTTTTGTTTTGTTTTAGAGACAGGTTTCTCTGTGTAGCCCTGGCTGTCCTGAAACTCACTCTATAGACCAGGCTGGCCTCAAACTCAGAGATCCTCCTGCCTCTGCCCCTAAGTGCTGGGATTAAAGGCATGCACCACCACTGCCTGGCTCCCTAGGTGATTGTAAATCTAGTCAAGTTAACAATGGTTATTAACCTTCAGAGAGATTTGGGCCACAATGTCATGGATATACCATAATAACATTGGTATATGTCTTGAAAGCCTTAATACATAGTGTTACGATGTCTTAGAGTCCTCATACATTTTATGTGATTAGATCTTGCTGTGCATGAGATGGTCTATCTGGGTCTCCATATGTGTAATCGTGTTTCAGTTTGGACTATTTGTGTATATGTTTGTGTATGTGCTTGGAACATGCTTAGGCCACTAAGTGTTGCTGTCATCAAAGTCAGTTCCCATTCTAAATTACAACATTCCTCTGTGTGTGTGTGTGTGTGTGTGTGAGAGAGAGAGAGAGAGAGAGAGAGAAAGAGAGAGAGAGAGGGAGGGAGAGGAGGGGGAACTGATTCTTACTCAGATTCTGTAGAGTAGACATTACCGTGAGGAGTTGGGTTAGCAGTTACAGACACTGAGGCTGCCTTACTCTTGCCAGCCTTTTCTCATGATACAAAGCGACCAAGCCTGGCCCCGGTTGACATTCCTTCCACGCCTGAGACCCAGTTGGCAACCTGGTCCCAGCTTCCCTGCCCTTCTCCACTGCCCCCTCATTTCCTATCCCCACCCCAGCCAGCCTTGATTTGTGACCGGTGGGGGAGCGGACAGGAAAATGGGAGCGGGGGACAGTGGGAGTTAACATGTCTTCCTGGGGTCTTCTCTCTTCCCAGGCCACCCTCCAGGGCCCACTAAAAAAGCCTTGAAGCAGCGTTTCCTCAAGCTGCTGCCGTGCTGCGGGCCCCAAGCCCTGCCCTCAGTCAGTGAAAGCAAGTGCCTCTCCTGTGCTTCTGGGGGCGGTGTGTGTGTGTGTGTCAGGGTGTGTCGGGGTGTGTGTGTGTCGGGGTGTGTGTGTGTGTCAGTGTGTGTGTGTGTCAGTGTGTGTGTGTGTCAGTGTGTGTGTCGGGGTGTTGTGTATGTCAGTGTGTGTGTGTGTCGGGGTGTTGTGTGTGTCGGGGTGTGTGTGTGTGTCGGGGTGTGTGTGTCGGGGTGTGTGTGTGTGTGTCGGGGTGTGTGTGTGTGTTTCGGGGTGTGTGTGTGTCAGGGTGTGAGAGAGAGAGAGAGACAAGTGTGATAGGACGTGGGTTAGGAACTGGTGGCTGGGTCTGAATGTGAGGGCTGTGGCTACAAACGAATGTATGGTCAGATCATAAGTGCTGTGGGTCTGCAGAATGACGGATCAGGGTCTTTTTGTTAGGCCTGAAGCCCGAGTCCATGTAAGTATGGCAGGGTGGCTTACCTAGCAAGGTTAGTCTGCAACTCTGTAGCTTTCCCACTGTTTAGCTTGGAGTGTCTGTCACATATGCTCTTACAGGGTGCCAGGTACAGAGGATGGAGTCACCTTCCCAGATGCCAGGGTGCTGAGGTTCTCTGTCCCAGCCTGGTCAACTGAGTGGCCACCAACTGAGTAACCTCTTGTCTATAGGTTCCGTTTCCTGGGCTGAGCCTTGCCCACTTTATAAAAAGCATACTGAAGTTTGCAGGCTATATAAAGGCCCAGTCTGTAGCTATTTGAGCATCTAATGTTGCTTCACTCCAATAATGTGACCCAGAGTTACTCCAAGAAGGAGGCTGGTGACAAGTCCATGTCATCATGGATGTCTGTTCACTGTGTGTGTGCCTATGTCGTGGGCCTGGGATTCGTGTGTTGAAACACTCAAGTCTGTGAGATTTCCTGCGAGAGTGGGGTCAGGGGAGTGTCTACAGGGTTTGGGTCTTCTCCGTGACTATTCGCTCCCTTCAGCATTAGCTGCCCCAGCCTCCCTCCGCCCCCACAGACCCCGCCCGCTGGACCCAGGTGACTTCCTCTCCTGGTTGGGGAGGGATGGGGGTTTGCCTGGGGACCGGAGGGTGGGACTCAGGGTGGAGTCAAAATTGGGGTCTGAACAAAGATTGGCTGGCTGGAGCTGGGTGGGGCATGGCTCGGGCATGGCTGGGATGGGCGAGGCTTGATTGGGGTTGGGGTGGATGTGGGCTCTCCCAGGCTGGGGCTGGGCCAATTTAAGTTGGTCAAGAAAGGCCCCTTCGCTCTGACCCTCAGGACCCCCTGGGCCCCGTTCTATCCACTGTCAGAGAAGTCACAGCAAGGGGCTGGCTGTCCCCCACCATGGCTCAGGGCCAGTGCTGAGTCTAGACCTCTGACTCAGGAGCCAGGCAGGGAGCCAGGCGTGGCCTTAGCCCCAACAGATCTCCAGGCCACCTCTGACTGTCTCCGCTGAGTCTGACTGGCAGGCCTCGGGTGTGGAAGAGAGGACAGGGAGGAGGGGGTTGTGTTAATTACTTTGAAGATTACTCAGGCATCTCAGGGACCTGACCTGAGGCAAAGCTCCTACCACTCCCCACAGACAGCGTGGAGGATGAGTTTGAACTGTCCACCGTGTGTCACCGGCCTGAGGGTCTGGAGCAGCTGCAGGAACAAACCAAGTTCACACGCAAAGAGTTGCAGATCCTGTACCGAGGCTTCAAGAACGTGAGTAGAGGCCTAGGCAACTGGGCAAGGGCAGAATTGGAGAGGCCTCGCTGACTAGCAGTTCCCCAGAAAGTACGGCCAGGCCCGGGTGCTTTGAAAAGGGGGGTGGGGCCCACAGGCCCAACTTCTAGCCAGAGGTTCAGGGCCCTTGGTGGCGGCAGGCTGGGCTTGTGATTTAGTTTATTTGTTTACTGGGGAAGTCTTTCCACAGAGGCATAGTGGTATTTCCTCTGTCTGGGAGTCTCTGGCCTGGGGCGGTGACTGGAAAGGAAGTGGGGTTTGTCTCTGCTCAGTGTGGTTGTCCCTACCCAGGAATGCCCCAGTGGAATTGTCAATGAGGAGAACTTCAAGCAGATATACTCTCAGTTCTTTCCCCAAGGAGGTGAGGGCACGGATGCCTGGGGGTGGCGGTTGTCCATCCTTAGGCTGAGGTGGGAAGAAGGGTTGTGGCGGGCTGGGGATGCTAAGGTAATGGGGGTGGGCAAGCTGCAGAAAGGAAGCAAGTACCCCTGCCTGATGGCCTAGTTCACATCCCACACTCACCCACAGACTCGAGCACCTACGCTACGTTTCTCTTCAACGCCTTTGACACCAACCACGATGGCTCTGTCAGTTTTGAGGTGAGCTAGGAGAGGTGGATGGGTTGAACAAACCTGTTTCCTTGGGCTTGGGTGGGGGTCAAAGATTTCCACACCAAACCCAAAGAGTGAAGTCCACCCCCACCCCCCACTCCTTCCCAGGACTTTGTGGCTGGTTTGTCGGTGATTCTTCGGGGAACCATAGATGATAGGCTGAGCTGGGCCTTCAACTTATATGACCTCAACAAGGATGGCTGTATCACCAAGGAGGTGCAGGGCCACTGGAGGGCAGGACGGGCGGTGTGTGGGGTCCTGGGTGGTGTTGGTGGAAAGGTACATGATTTTAAAAAAATGTGTATCTGTGTCACCAGTAATGGGGACAGGTCTGTCCTTGCCTCCCTAGGCCTCTAAGTCTGAAGGCCAGAGGCTCTTAGGAGAAATCTTCTCATTTGGCTCAACAGGAAATGCTTGACATCATGAAGTCTATCTATGACATGATGGGCAAGTACACATACCCAGCCCTCCGGGAGGAGGCCCCGAGAGAGCATGTGGAGAGTTTCTTCCAGGTGCCGGGGTCTGGGGTGCTGGGGCCCTGGAGTGGAGGGAAGGAGACCAGGACTCGGTGAGGTTCTTACCCAAGTGTCTCTCCCACTGCCCCCTTGTTCTCTCTGCTTGACCACCTTCTTGCAGAAGATGGACAGAAATAAGGATGGCGTAGTGACCATTGAGGAATTCATTGAATCTTGTCAAAAGGTATGGCCCCCTCTACATTTCCCTGGAAGCAATCCCCCACCCCAATCCTGTTCTTTTATGACTAAGGGAAATTTACCCCTTCCCCACGTCGGGCCCTCCTATGCATCCTTCTCTACCTCTGAATGTCCCCATCTCTAGTTAAATGTGTTTCTCTGTGTCTCTGACAAGCTTTTTTCTCTCTTTCTCTCCCTCTAATCTGCCTCCCTCACGCCATGTGCCATGATCACAGGACGAGAACATCATGAGATCCATGCAACTCTTTGATAATGTCATCTAGCCCCCCAGGGACAGGAGTTAGTGCATCCTGGGGGTGACCGTGCTCTAGTCCTAGTTCAGGTGAACCTTACCCTTCTCTCCCTGGGTCTGTCCTCACCCTACATGTACCCTGGGGGCTGTAGGAATCCAGGTCCTTGGGCTTCAGTAGTCCAGATCCCTGAGCTAAGTGTCAAGAGTGGGCAAAGTCTATCTGGGAGGGAGGGTCCCCAACTCCCAACAGCTCTCATCTCCTTCTCGCCTGACATCCAGTGCTGAGGACACCCCTGGTGTAGGGAATGAGTGGTTCCTCACCTCCCAACCCTACGCTAGAAATCACATTAGGCAGAATGTGTCCTGCTATGGTGCTTTCCCATCCCTGATCTCGTAGACTTCCCTCTGAGACCCCTCCTCGGAGAACATGCTCTGACCATGTCCCTGGCTGGCTTTTCAGCCTATCCTTTGAGGGCCCTGTAGGAGGGGACGAGAAAGTAGAGAAGTGTTGGCCTTGAGCCAGTAGATAGGTCCCAGAAATTGGTTGGAGTGGAAAGCAGAAAGCCTGGGCAGAGACTCAGAGAGCCCAGGCAAGGCTGTCACTGCCAGGTTCTATGGGTCTGCTGCCTGGGGCCAGCAGAGTATGGGTTCCCTGACTTCCCAGAAGGCCTTACATCCTTAGCAATGTCCCAGAAATTCACCATACACGTCTCAGTGTCTTAGGAGAGCCTGAGTTCCAGATCGCTGGTTCATCCCGGGATTCTCTCCATCCTTCTTGTATGGTGGGAATGGAATGGTAGCCAGGGGAAGATGAGTGGGAGGTGTCCTGGATGACGCCTGTCAAAGTCCCGTCCTGCCCTCCTGCCTGTCGCCTGTTTCCACGGCTTTAGTTTCAATTCTCCATGGCCTCTAGATTTGGAGGCTGGGGTGAGTCAGGGATTTTCCTGAACTTGGGTCTTACCACTCCTCCTAGTGGCTGCCTTAGGGGAATGGGAGGACAAAGGCAGGCACTACATCGAACCCAATGGGGGCATTCTTTGGAATCCTTGCCCGACCCTCACAGTGCCCTAGGATGTCCTAGGGTCCCCTCTCCCTACATTCAGTCTACCCAGAGATGCCCTTGAGCTCACCCAGAGGGCAGGAACCATAGGATCCAGGCCCAACCTTGTCAGCACCCTGCCTCGCTGCTGTCCCCTCTTAATATACCCGCTTGTCTCATTCAGCTCTCCTCCCAGTCAGCTAGGGTCAGAGGGGAGGGCTCCCAACCCTTCAGACATGGCTGACTGCTTTGCATCTTGGGCTCTTCTACATATTTTGTAAAATAAGACACCAGATCCAATAAAACACAACGGCTATGCACAGCCTGCTGTCTTTGCTTCTTTATCCCGTCCGCCACACAATTCAGATGACACGCCCTGTTGCTAGGAGTTTTTCCCAGCCGCTGCTCCCACCACCATGCGTGCCCCAAATAACACACAGAGACTCTGTATTTGATATGACGCTGTTGGCCAGTTACTAGTTTCTTATGGGCTAGCTCTGTCTTAAGTATTAACCCATTTCTATTAATCTAAGTGTTTCCACGTGGTCTTATCTTACCAGAGAGCGGGGCCTGGCAGTTCTGCTCTCTCCAGTCTCTCCATGCTGACTCCTCACTCCTTCCTTGAATCCTCCTTGTCTCCTAGTCCTGCCTATCTTGCTTTCCTATTGGCCAACAGTGCTTTATTCATTAACCAGTATGAGAAACATATTTACAGAATGACATCTCCCATCAATGCCCACAGCCCTTTAAACTACCAAGAAAATGCTTGTCTTTTCAAGTGTGGCCATGCCTTGGCACAGATCCAAAACTCAGGTAGGAAATCCATCGACCTTAGCTCCTGCATGAACCTCCTGACTTCTTGAGGACACACAGACTGGATGCTGTCTGAAGACTCTCTGTGCCAAGCAAGTCATTTTTTTTTCTTTTTTTGCCATAAAATGTACTTTATTCTAGTTCTGGAAAATGGAAAGAGAATCCGTCCATTTACCATTCTAATCCAACATGAATGTGAATTTGGAAAACAGAAGGAAATACATATAAATATGTGTGTGTTGTATGTTTATATATAAACAATAGTGAGTTCTATATTTTGTGTGTTATTTATATAATGTATGTGTATAATGCATGCATACATTTCCATATTCCCAGACTTCGGTCTCATCGACATTTGAACTTTCTTGTCACTCTTCTTTTGAGAAAATGTTCCCTAACCAGGAATGACCTTCAGCCCCTATCTTGTTTCTACCTCCCAAATGCTGAGACTCCAGGCATGTGCCGCCACATAGCACAAGGTCCCTCCTGTCAGCACCCCTGCTCCCAGCCCTGCCCTTCCCTTGCCGGATCTGTACAGGTCGTCAGATACATTTTCATGCTCCCGCTTGCGTTGCTCACTAGCTGGTTAATATTGTTTGGATTGCTTCCTTAATTGTGTGTTTTGATCGCTGGTGCACTTGGCCAAACTGTCAGGGGAAACTTTCCAGCTCTGGTGTGTGTGTGTGTGTGTGTGTGTGTGTTGTCCAGCTCTGGTGTGTGTGTGTTGCTCCCTCCCCCATCAATCCCTAATTAAGAAAATGCTCTAGCTCTGGTGTGTGTGTGTGTGTGTGTGTGTGTGTGTGTGTGTGTTGCTCCCTCCCCCATCAATCCCTAATTAAGAAAATGCTCTAGCCAGCACTTGGGAGGTAGAGGCAGGCAGATCTCTGAGTTGGAGGCCAGCCTGGTCTGCAGAGCAGGTTTCAGGACAGCCAGGGCCACACAGAGAAACCCTGTCTTGGAAAACCAGAAATTAAGGGGAAACTGCTCTAATTCTCAGCAGGCTTCCCTTACAGCCCAGTCTAATGGAGGCATCTTCTCAATTGTGGTTCCCTTCTTTCAGGTAACTCTGGCTTGTGTCAAGTTCATATAAAACTAGCCAGCACAACATGTACGGGTGTTTTGTCTCCACGTATGTGTACATACCGTCCACTTCCTGGTGCCTGAGGCGGCCAGAAGAAAACATCGGATCCCCAGCAACTGGAGTTAGAATTGTGAGCCACCATGTGGTGCTGGGAATGAAACCTGAGTCTCCTGGAAGAGCAGCCAGTGCTCTTAGCTGTTGAGCCACCTCTCCAGCCCAAGACTTTTAATTCTAAACAGGATGTGAGCCTGGGGTAGATTCTGGGTTGGTCTTTGTTTCTGAGCTGGGTTCTGTTGACAGACTGACATGTTGGATGTTTCAGGATGGGTGTTGTTTGCATTTCAATGGTTCCGCCCAACTCCCCACAAGCTCAGGGAGCCATTCTCTTTTGTTGCTTTTTGTTCACAATGATAATGGCTGCACAGAGTGCTTACAGGGTAGGCCTCTTTCCTATGCTTTTGCAGTGACTCTTGACAGCTGGACAGATAGTGTTCTTAGAACCAAACCTGAGGATCCCGCAACTCCTCTCTCTCATCTGAAAAAGTGGGTGTATGTATGTATGTATGTATGTATGTATGTATATATACATAATCTTTATATATACTTATATAATTTGTAGTTGGCATATAAAGTAGGATTTTATGGTATTTTCTTCCTTTTTCATGTGTGTCTGTTTGTGTGTTTGGGAGGAGGGGGTGTGGGCGCGTCTGCATGTGCCTCCACAGGACAGAGGTCAATGTCTGTCTTCTTCCAACCTATTTTTTGAGGCAGGGTGTCTCACTGAAAATGCAGCTCGTGTACCCACCTGTCTTCCCTGCCAATGCTGGGATCACAGCACTTGCTTCCTGTATGGGTGCTTTTCTTGTGGGTGCTGGGGGTCAAACTCAGGAGGTCCATGGCACACACTTTACCGACTGAGTCATCGCCCAGCCTTACTTTTCCTGAGTTCATATCATTGTACCTTGCTCATACACGCCACCTCAACTACCTTCCCTCTCCCACCTTGCTGGCCTCCCCTCCCCCCCATAGTCTCCTTTTGGTGTGTGTGTGTGTGTGTGTGTAAAACTCTAGACACCGCATATGAGAGGAATTGTACACTATTTTTGTATTTCCTTCCCTCCACTTTTAAACTTTATTTTTATTTATTCTTTGTGTCTTTCACAGCGTGCATTTCCATCCCTGTCCCTTCATATCTGCCCTTGCAACCTCCCCCCAAACTTAAATAAAAGTTAAGAGGAAAAAAAAAGAAAAAATTTCATCATGGAAGCTGTAGTGTGACACAGTGAGTCACGCAGGAAACCCTTTTGTACTTCTTTACTTGCCAGTGTTCACTGCAAGGAGTCATTGGTCTGGCTTCTGCTTCACTACCGATGCTGGGCCCTCACTGGGACTTCTCTTTGTGCTTTGGGTCTGCTCCAGCAGATCATAGATCTAGTTACTCTGAGAATGCTCTTTTGAAAATTCCTCCCTCCCTCCTCCCCTTTCTCCTTTCCTCCCCCCTCCTTTCCTCCCTCTCTCTCTCCCTCCCTCCCTTTAAATGAATTGGGATTATTAAAGAGGGTTCAGGCCCCTGAGCTGGCCCAGCAGGTCAAAGTACTAACTGCCTGATGACCTGAGTTCCCTCCGTGGGATCCACACGGTGGGAGGAGACCTAACTCCCACAAGTTGTCCTCTGCCCTCTGCCCATACACATGGCACATACATACCCAACCATCCCAAGTAACAATTTTTCCTTAGGGAAGAGTTTGACACAGGCTTAAGCATGGCGTTAAGAGAAAGAGGAGGGGAGTATAAACACAAGAGCCTGAGTGTGGGTCTCAAGGAACCTTTGAACCTTGGAGTTCCCTCCAGTTTCTCTTCTTTTTCTTTTGGTTTTGGTTTGCTTTTTTGTTTGTTTCTGTATTGCTTTGGAGCCTGTCCTGGAACTCGCTCTGTAGACCAGGCTGGCCTCGAACTCACAGAGATCCCTATGCCTCTGCCTCCCAGGTGCTGTTTTAAAGGTGTGCACCACCACCGCCCGGCTCCCTCAGTTTCTAATGAAAGTTCCTTTGTGTGAACCAAGCTCTGCATCTGTATCAGTGCAAAGGTGTTTATGCGTCCTATCCGGCCTTCCTCTATCCCACCAGCTCCCACAGAGACTTTCACTAATTATGAAAGCTTGGCCTATTGCTTAGGCTTGTTTCTAATGCCTCTTATAACAACCCATTTATATTCATCTATGACCTGCTGTTACCTCCTCTCTGAACATCAGCTTGCTTTGCATCTCTTGGCATCTCTACCTTTCTTTTTCTCAGAGTCCTTTGTGCCCAGCTATTCAGCTTTTTATTAAACCAATCAGGTGTCTTGGCAAAGACACATCTTTAGAGTGTAAACAAATACTCCACAACAATGTCTTCGTGAAAAAATATAACGGCATGATGCAGCTTGGAAAAGATGCATATGTACACCGGAAGGATAGTCCACAAGATTTTCTTCCCTGGGGCTTGAGATGACTCAGCAGGTAAAATGCCTCTAAGCCAGAAGAACCAAGTTCGATCCTATGGGCCCCACAAGTTGCCCCCTAATCTAATCTCCACATGCATACCATGTCACAAATTCTTCTCTCCAGGACTGGAGAGATGGTTCAGCAGTTAAGAGCACTGGCTGCTCTTTCAGAGGTCCAGGGTTCAATTCCCAGCACCCACATGACAGCTCACAACTGTAATTCCAGTTTCAAGGGATCTGACACCCTCACACAGACATACATGCATAAAATTAAAGAAGAAATGAGCTGGGCAGTAATGGTGCACACTGTTAAAGCCAGCACTTGGAAGGTAGAGGCAGGGGGATCTCTGAGTTGGAGGCTAGCCTGGACTACTGATTAAGTTCCAAGACAGCCGGGAATGCACACAGAGAGAAACCCTGTCTCAGGAAAAAGCATTTTTTCCTTCCACCCAAGGTGCTGCCACCATGGAAGTCATCATGGGATGAAATGGTGTGACCTCAGGCCACCTGAGGCAAGGACAGCAGGGTTCCTTAGTGCTGGTAGTCTGCACTGTAGCCCGGCTGGGTGTGGCTAATGGTAGGTTCCTCTCTTCTTTTTTCTGGAAACCCATTGTGTGCTGCTGACTCATCCAAAGGAGGAAGCCAGGCCTTCCCTGTTCCTGCACACTGACAAGGTGACAGGAAGAGCTGGTTTCAAAGAGCAACAGCTTCCTTGTAGGGCTAGAGCGAGCGAGCATGCGCTCAGCATGCTTCAGGCCTGGGTTCCATCTGCAGAGTTGGTTCGTTGTCTGTGATCCTTGTGTATCTCGTCTGAGAGACTGCCTGCTCCTCATGCAGGATGCTTGGGGTTGAGTTCAAGATCTGCTCCAAACAGGGGGTGGTGGGGAGCTAAACTTCCATTCCCCCTGCTGTTTTGTTTGTGAGAGGTTGCTGAGCATGAACCC